GTTTGGAGAGGGCAATGGGGAATTGGTTGATACCATATGCACATGGATAGCAGCACCTGCAGGCCATTTATAAATAGCTGTCTTAATAAAAGAGCCAGTTTCCTTTTGTAGTAAAGGATTCTTTTCTTGTTATCAGTGAGCACACAGTACATGAAACGCATGCCTTCAAAACCTGGCACTGCAGGGAGAGATTGATGTCTGCCTGGGCCAGACACTCCTATGCTCCTCGTTCTCCTACAGGCTGTAGCTGCAAGTGCAGTACTGGGACATACTGGCGAGATGGCAGTTGGCATAGGAAACCTATACTGTGGGCGTATCTACATGAGACATTTACTACAGTGGACTAATTAGATGTGCAGTTAAACATCTTGGCATTTACAAATGCACCCCATTAGGCTGGAATAAACTAATTTATTGTAAATACAAGTACTGTCCTGCGGTAGAGTAAAAATTCTGCAGCAGCGCACATGTAGATGCAGGAGGTGCCTGCCACACTGGAGCACCTTTGTGCCCTAGGCAACCCCTCCTTAGCACATTGAGCAGCGGTGAGCAGCCCTGGGCTGGCAGACTGATCCCTGGCGCCCCCTGCCAGCTGGGCCTGCTCCGACATGGAGTTTATTGCTCCCAGGCTCATGTTCAAATGGTGCACAGGAGCAATAAACTGCAGAACAATAAACTCCACAGTTTATTTTGGTGCCATAATAGCATGTGTAGATGCGCTGTCACCCTTTGCTTTGTCCATGCCCTAAATAGGCAACATTTTGCACTTGTATAAGTGGATGTAAGGCTGATGCAGGCCCAGTGACTTTCAGCTGCATTGCTGGGGTATGATGAAGACCAAGAATCGCTTAAATGAAGCCAGTGGCATTACTGTGGCTTTGCAAACTACTGCCTCAGCGTACCCTGTTCCATGGGGGTGCCTACATATGCCAGGTTTGCTCCAAAAAGTTTCAGGATTGCTCTGGAGGAAGAACTGAACACCTCCTGCCCATGCTATGCTGCTCCAGCCCAGACCGTCACTTTGTATCCAGCCTTGATACCAGAGCTAGGGTGTTAGGAGACAGGTCAACAGCATTGTTCTAAGTTAGCTCCCAGGTTAAGGCTGTGAAATGAAGCCTATGGTTTAAAAAGGAGGAAACCCCTGGCCTTGAGCCCTGTACTCCCAGTGATTGGTGTCTCTTCGACCTGCGGAAAGCACCACTTTCCATTTCAACTGTCTCAGAAATAGGGGGTTTGAGGGAAGTGTCTGCATAGTAGACAAAAAAATTCCTGTTTTTTTTTTTTTTAAGACCATGTTCATATACTTGCCTGCTCAGGAAGATGTGAGACTTAATTATTGAGCAAAACATAACAAAATCGCTTTTAATAAAAATGAGAAAAGGGTGTAACCCTCCCCCCACCCCCAACTCCGGCTTTCGCCAGCTTAACTAATTAGTAGCTCGTGTGCAGAAGAGCTAGCAGGAATTGGTGGTGAGGAGAAGGGAGTGCTGCATGCATGCTTCATCCATCTCGTTTGTCGGATCTTATCAGGAGCACCATGATTTGGCAGTGCCTGGCAGTGTCAAAAGCCGGGTAACAAGAGATGCTCCTGTGTTGCCGTAAGGAGATTTTTACTAAGCTAGGACCAAAGAAAAGTGATCCACCTCTCACCAATTGACTGGTCTTTATATTCCCATGCACTTCTAAGGGGTTATACCTGGCCAATGCTGGTTGGCCCAATCCTTGCAGGCAAGTCAGGTATCTGTATTACCTTCCACAAACCCCATTTTCCAAATTGGTAAGCAGCGGAGTTTTGCTAACTTCAGGCCGAACTAGGAATAAAACCAAGGTCTCTAATGTGACACTCCTGAACCTTACCCGCTTGACCAAGTAGCCTTAGGTTGAATGTCATTTGGTTGCCTCCAACTGTTAGACCAGAGCCCGTGTCTACAATCAGGAATGAAGCCAGGGTTTCTGGTCTCCAGCATCCTGTTGTTGACTAGCAAACTCCCTGAAAAGTGTGTGTTCAGTCACCACCCAGCATGACCATTTCACATATAATAAGATAATGATTGCTCTGGTAGCTGCATCAGAGGAATCTATGCTGGAGGTCAAAAGGTCCAGAATTCAAATTGGTTCCAAATTCAAATTGCAACTGGTTGCAATTTTTTTTTTTTTTTAATTCAAAGCTATTTTTTTTAATGTGAAAAATAGCTTTTGGTTCAAAACCAAAGATTGATGCAGAGAACTTTAATTGGATTTTTTTTAAGTTATAAAAACAGAAAGTATGAGCAATTAGAGTTTTCCATCAGAATTTTCGGGGAAACAACTTTAAAAACTGTCGTGGGGGCGAACTCTTTTTTTTGACTAATTCAGATTTCAACCCCTGCTGGTGACGCACACTGAGTGAAGAGCGTTTATTATTCCAGTTTCTATTTTTAAGTGTAATGCACACAGTGCAAAGAGATCCTTCCTAAAACAGTTTATATATTAAAAGCACCTATCGTAACTCTCCTGCCCCACAACCAAACATAACAGGCCTTCCACCTTTCTGTCACCAGTCGTGACAATTGGTCACTACTGTTGTGCTCCAGCAGTTGGAGGCTGAGGGGTACGACTCCCTCAGACAGGTTAATGGGGACGAGGAAAGTTGGGACCCCCTCCCTGGCTTGCTGGTGAGGGTGTTTTCAATCTGCTGCCATGGGTGCGCCGGCCTGGCCCCCTGCCTGCTGGCTGAACAGGAAACGTGGCCTGATGGGGGGTGCACTGGCGCTCTCAGGGGGTGCATGTGCACCCCCTACACATTGGCCCTGGCTGCCAGCCTCCAGAAGTAAAGTACTATCCTGTCCCCTCTGAGAGAGGAGGAATTGTGCTTGCAGAGTGCCTGGGTCTTCATGCCTCCTATGGCTAATCAGGGGAAAAAGCAGATAAGCCACAACCCAAGGCAAGAGGTGGAGTGTAAAGCACAAAGCAGAAGCAGGGGCTGGAGCCGGTGCAGTTGCACTAGTCATAGCTGGGCAGGAATTGGGCCAAATGCTTTCAGTTACTGTTGTGTTATATAGTCGATAGTGCTGGGGGTTTAAAGAAATCAAATGACAAATTCCTCAGGGGCACCAGAGCAGCTGCTTTCTCAGAGAGGTTAAACCATTGACAGCTGGCCCATGTCGCAGCCTGGCATTGCCGAAAGGGTCTGTTTTAAAAAAAAAAAATTAAACATATTCATAATAAAAATAGCAATTCATTTTGGCACAAAGTCATTTCCTGAAAAAAGAACTCTTCTGGAGTCCAGGCAACTCCCTCTTTATGGCTTCCTTCCAGGTGAATGGCCCTGGAAATGACAATGGCACTGCATATATCTCATGTTTTGCACAGTATGGAAAGAATGTTGGCCCTATATTTTCCTCTTGTGAGTATAAATCTTTTTTTTTCCTTCTTTTTTGGAGGGGAAACCTAGATGATCTACTTCACTGGCTAATATAGAGCTCCTTGACATAAATTCAGCCCCTTTATTTCTGCTACAGAAAAGGAGTGTAGGGCAGACAAATCACCCCCAGAGTGAACAGCAGTGGTGCAGATTACAACTTCACCAAGACTGTGAATGTTCCCCCCATAGAAGAGCATTTTGTACCATGCCTGAGTGTTTTTATTCGTGGAAACTTAAGGCTGGTGGAAAAACAGATTTCCACTTAATTATAAATCATTTGGGGTTATGCTTCTTTTTATAATTCTAATAATAGAAGGGCCTATCCCAGAATCGACCAAAAAAAACAAGTGGAGAAAGTGCTCTCTCCTGGAACACGAGAGCCAGGTATAAATCACTACACTGAAAAATTCCCAAAGAGATCTTCAAAACTGAAGGTACATGAGCCAGACTCTGCTTCCAACTACTGTAAGCTAGTGTAAAATCCAGAGAAGATCCATCACCTGCAATAAGGTCTCATAAGATTTTTACAAAAGTGTGTGCATGTGAGCGCAAGCGTGTCCATATCTAGGTTGTTAGATATCAATACCAGGTCATTATATCTCCAATTAACTTAGCTTAAAGGAGTTAAGTTTTGATTTGTGAAGCATTAGGAAGGGACTATAAGCTCATAACCTTACTCAGCTGTGATAAGTAAGCGGGCAGTGCAGTCGACTGAGCTGATGGTGTTTTTGAGTTATCTACTGGAAAAGTGTTTGTGTGATGATCACCCCAACCACCACCATGACAATTGGCAGGAGACATCTGACCCACTGCCTTTTCAGCCCAATTCAGCACCCTTTGATTGGGTGCCTCATCGAAGGCCCGAGATGGACGGGCCAAGAAGAAGGAGCCAGCTATTCAGCCTGGCTCACTGCAGTTGGTCTTTCGGGAATACGGCTGAAGCCTGTAGTTAATGTGGCAGCGCTGGGGGAATCTTTCTGGCTGTTGGTTGATTTGAAAGATTTTCGCACATACTGTTTCCTCTGCAGTCCAGATGAATTAATTTTTGTTGGAATGTTTCTTGGGTCAGTCTAAAACGTGCTGATATTTCCAGATGGGGAGAAGAGAGGAACAACATGGTTTTCTGCTTTTTTAGCAGTGAAGACCATGGGCAGGCTATAAACCTGGAAAGGAGCCTTTTCTTCCTTCTGTCCTATACTGTCCTCCCCTGGAGGATGAAGAGGGAGGCTGACAGTGTGATGCCTCTGCTAAATGATGTCCATTTTCATTTGAGATGGTTATGGAAAGTGAAGGTTGTATTAGGCCATTTGTTTGCTGCTGCTGTGCAAAAGTCCACTAATACAGGACTGGGAAGGACTTTTGAGATTATACTTTAGGGCCCAAGCTTGCACCAGCCAAGAATGTGCATGGTGGGGATACATTGGATGATCTAAGAACCCTTTCAGCTCTAACCCAACAACCTTTTCTTGCACTGGGAGATACGTGAAGGAATAAAACAACTCGTGTGAATAAGGGTTGTAGGGTTGAGTTTCATGTCTCGTAGGTCACAGCAGGCTTCCTCAGCAGTGCATCTAATGGTTTGCTTCCATTTCTGCAGGTGTCTCCAGGATGATGAGTTACTATATGGACACAACCCTGGGAAACCCAGCCCCTTATCCTCTGCCTCGTTCAGGAGTGATGGTAAGGAAGGATGCTGGGTTACTTTTGTATCCCTGTTGCATTTTGTACCTTGGGCTGCATCTTTGCTTGGCACAGCATTGCAGGATTAAGGAGAAACCCTGCTTAAGGCAAATGTCAAAAATAGTTCATGGGTTTTGCTTGGTTCTGAGAAGTATTCAAATATCTTACCTAGGCCTTATTTGAACTTCTTCGGCTTGTGAGGCCAAGCTAGAGATCGGAGCACAGTATCAAAACCTCCTCTTCCAATGCTGACTCTAACCCAAGCGTCATGTCCCAAATTGGGTTTTAAAAAAAAGCACAAAACTCCTTTCAGGCTACAGAAATCCCTGCATTGTCCAAACTGAAATGATATACTCTTGGAATGAATGTACATGTAACAGGACATGGATAAGGGAACCCCAGTCTTTTTAAATACCAGTTTTGATTTGAATGCGAGTCTGGTCGTTGGGCAGCACCGAATCTGGCCCGCTCGAGAAGAAAGACAAAAGTTGGTTTTTGGTCTGTTAGACGGCTCTGGTATGGGGATGTATGTGTGGGTGCTCCATGCTCTAGACTAGCCAAGGCACAAAGCAATGTGGTCAGTTCCTAAGCTGCCATCGATCATGCTCAGCCCTGCTCTGGCACATGTCTATGCCAGTAGATGTAAGGGGGCATTTCCTACGGTGGCATATTATTTTTGGGCTGGGCTGGGAATTCTGCTCCTTTTTATGGCAGTGGAGTGGGGCTAAAGGGCTGCAGTAGGGGCAGGTTGATGATTCTACAAGATCATTAGTAGGAAAATCAGATTAACAGACCCTTATCTGATATCCATCACAATGATGGCAATGGTATAGGAACTCAGCAGGACAGGTGGTGGCCATGGCTTTGCAATGGAAAAAAGTAGGAGATAAGTAGAACTGGTTGGAGAATGGAATTTTCCTCGCACAGAAAATTCCAGTGCATTGTTTTTTATGTCCCAAACTGGGCTGGGGAAAAAAAGAAAAACTTTCAAGCTACTGAAATCCCTGCAATTTTGAACTAAGGTGAAAATATTTCAACATTTTTTTGTTTGAAACAGCACAACATTTGTCGTCACACCAGATGACAAAGCTAACATGTTTAACGATTTCTTTGTCTCCGTCTTCCTAAGTAGGGACCAGAACAGCAACCTCCCAGCTGGGCCCCCTTCGGGCCCCGGGGGAGGCACACCTGGGCCAAGGGTTAGCGAGGACTTAGTAAGGGAGCTTCTGGAGGGGCTGGACGTATTCAAGTCAGCCGGTCCGGATGATCTCCACCCTAGAGTTCTAAAGGAACTGGCCAAGGTCATTGCAGGTCCCCTGGCACGGCTTTACGAGCTCTCGTGGTGCACTGGAGAGGTGCCAGAGGACTGGAAGAGGGCCAATGTGGTTCCAATCTTCAAAAAAGGGAGGAAGGAGGACCTGGGAAACTATAGGCCAGTTA